TACCTACCTATTGGTTCCCAGGGACTTTTTTATGAAGAAAAGGGAGCAGAGCAGGAGTAATTAGGTGTTTTTTATTCTATTAAGCCTTATGAAGGGATTTGTGTAACTAAACAGTATTAAGGCTTTTCAAAAAGGTTTATAATTATGATTTTGTGGGAATTCAGGTTTTATATAGAGCTCCTAAAACTTTGAAAATAGACATTGAAAAGAATAAATCTGTTCGCAGAAAATAAATTGAACATAATGGACCTATTATGGGAATAATTCTGCATTTTACAGCCTAAGTAGAAAAATACATTCATACATAAATAGAACCTAATAAAAATAAATCTGTTAAGTGAGTAAATATACTGTGATGGGATAAAATCTTAACCATAAGAATGGCTCATCTGATCCAATATGTCTACCTGCTTTTCATTTTTATTCATACTTTCTCATTCTTAGTTCCTTTGTTATAGCAAAATAAATCTGCATGCCTTGTGGAGAAGTTTTTATAATGCTTCCTTAGTACTAGCTTCATGCTTTTCATTTTTGTTAGCCATATATCTTTGGCCCAAGGTGAGTACTATATGTCCTAGACTTTGTTAAAATAGTTGATAAATCATAGATTTGGATGATATAATTATTGGGTTTCTATTTTTAACATATAGGATGATTAAAGGAGAGAATCAAAAGAAAAAAGTAATGAAGAAATAACATAGAATTGATTTTTGTTGCCCACACATAGTAGGTGCTTTTCTTAGGTGAGGTGCACACTGTCCCCAAATGCAAGTTCAAGCCCTGAAGAGATCAACTCACTGAAAATCAAAACAAAAAGGCAGCAAAGCAACTCTCCAGCTTCCTTGGCCTTAAGGGCTCCCCCCCAACCTCCACCCCCTCCCAGGTCTCAAATCCAGAGTACTGCCTGCCCTCCCTTTTCCCTTTTTGGTACTTGTTTATATTAGATTCTCCTTAAAGCTGGTCAGAGTGCATTTAACTCATCCATGTTCATGGGTTCCATTACTAAAGGCTATTGTTGGGCTTTTACCTCATTAATACTATGCAGTACCATCAGCCCCTCAGTGCCCAAGGTCTGGGTAGAACTCATAAGCCTAAGACAGTGCTTCATTTGTTTAACTGAATATCCTTGAGCTATAGAACAAAAAAGTGTAATTTATGATCTTAATTAATGAATCTGTAAGCTTTAATGAACTACCAGATACTATGCTAGGAGCTGGGCATAAAAAGACAAAAATGAAAGGCTCTCAAAAAACTGATATTTCATAGAGGGCATTGTTTGACTTCTGATTTCAAAGAGAGAGCCAAAAAGTTTTACATGGATTTTCCAGATCCTAGGAGTGCTATGCCACTAACCCCCACTATGTGGAAGTGGTAACTCTATGAAGTAATAATTCATTACATCATTCATGCCAATCAGTGTCTCATCACTTTTTAGTCCAGGATATACTTTCCAATTTTCAAACAATGCTGAAGGGCACTTTAATTTTCCTCTGACTTTCTCCCTTTCCATCTTACTCCACCCCAATCCAGCTTTTTTTTTGGTTAGTGTCTTTTTGATACTTGTAGTTTTTTTTTTTAACAATATCATTACCACCATCAATAAAACCTTCCCTTCTAACAAAGAAGATGCAAAACAGCCTCAAAGACTCTTCGTTCATATGTGGTCTCTCATGACTATGTTAAGTTGACTGTTTCTTGAAATCCTTAATTAGAATCACAGAAGAAGGTGAAGAATGCACGGTGCAAAGATTATGATGTTCAGTTGGCTGAGCAGTCCATCGAGTTAGGCCATCAGTACATCTGGCTTGAAGGGGCGCTGCAGGTGCCCAGAGCTGCAGAGGAGGAGTAAGCTTAATGAAAGGAAAATTCCTTAATGACTAAAGCCCAGTAAAAGTGGAGTAGTATGCTTCCATTGGACCGTTAGAGTTAGAAGATACCTCAAGAGGCCATCTAATCCTGAGGTAGTGGAGATTTTCAAACATAGGGTAGATACCTCTTGTTGGAAGTTTTCTAAAGGCATTTTCCTCTCAGATATTGATTCCAGAAGTTCCTTCCAATGCTGAACTTCCATCATCATGTCAGTTCCCCCATGAAGGTTATCTGCTTATCCACCCCCAGCAATAACGCCCTTGGACCTCATGTGCTCAAATACTCAAGTCTGTGATCTCTTCTGTTTAGGATTTCGGTCCATTGATACAGATCATAGGCCATCTATACTTGACCATCTTGTGCCTGCTCTTGCTCATATCCTCCCATAAATTTGCCATAGAGGATTTAAGCAATCAACAGAAATCCCTTCTCTCTTATTCTTGACTATTGAGTGTGTAACAGTGGAACATTTTGGTTGTCTTCCTTTTATCTCTTATCTTTGACTCATGGCCAGCCCATCTTTTCTTGATCAAACAATTCTTTGACCACACATTTTACTCTTGTTTTTCCGCATTCTGTGTTGCACCCTGCTCATAACCACCATGTATCTCTGCAACCATTTGTATAATAGCATCCACTCCTAGAGGGTCCATCCAGACTTCTCTTTGTGTTGCTCCTCAAATAGCACTTTGTTTGACAAAATTCTGTGTCCAGTATTGTATCTTTTTAACTTGTATTTGTGTGATTATAAATTTGGAACGGAAAGGATCTTAGATATCTACAAATCCTGTTCTTTTCCCCACCTTACACCCCCATTTGACAGGCTAGACTTGAAGCCTTGAAGAGTGGATTCAAGCCTCAAGGCAGATAAAGTATCAGTCTGTACTAGTAGAGGAGATTTTTTTCTACTTGGAATCTTCTGTTACAGTGAAATCAACTAGAAATTGTCCTTTTCTCTATCCCTTTGTGTGTGGCATACTTCCTTATTAGACTGTAAATACCTTGAGGACATCTGTTTTTCCTTGTCCAAACTTTCTTTATACAAATTATAGCCTAAACAAATTCTGAACTGCACCGAATATTTCCTCCTAATTTGTTTTGTTTTTATTTTTTCCCTTAAAGAAAACACCTGTAAATGTCTTAATGAAAATGATTTCATTCTTGCCTACATTTGTGATATTTGTTGCTATCACAATATCTATTTAGTTTCACATGTTTAACCAGTAAGAGATTCAACATGTGAAAGACTGTTACCTGTGTTGGGGTTTTCAGGCAGTGGTAAGGAGTAAGTACTCTTGCACTTTATCAAAGAATTGCACCATGTCCTTTTGAACATAAAACTTGGAGTCCCGGGGGTAGATGGGACTTAAGATATTTTCTAATATCCTCATTTTGCAAATGAAAGAAACTGATACTGGGAAGTGAAGTGACATACTATGTGAGAACACTAATTTGTGATTAGATTAGGCTAATTAGTGATAGCGATTATTGGCCCTTGAATCCCATGGGCCTTCTGTCTTCCTTTTAAGAGGTCCTTCCACTACTCCAGAGTATTTTCTGTGTCCCAAGTTCAGCTGATTTATAACATGGATTTTCCAGTCATTATTTTAAATAAGAGATGACTCAGTTAAAACAGCCAAACTTAAACATCAAATGGTCATCACTGATAGTGTTATCAAGCAAGGTTTTAGCCTAATAGACTCCAGTGTATTGCATTTCTTGTTAAACCTTATTTTAACCTCCAATTATCTAACTTTGTACTTATTCTCAGGCTTCATTAAAGTGTTTCTTTCCAATTCAGCTGAATCCTTATTTTAGAATCATATGCTTTATGGGACTTATCCGTGGTTCTAGAACTTGAGAACAAAGTTCCCTCTGTTTCTTTTTACCCTATCTTTGCCTGTTCTGAGTTGTTTCCCTCCTAACTCCTGGGTTGGATTTTTTTTTTTTTTTTGCCCTCACTAATGGTAGTAGATTCTTCTGTTTAGGCTATTGAAGTGAAGTGACAGCACTGGCTTACCCTTCTAATTTCCTCATCATTCCTCTGACTTTTCATCATTTCATCATCATTCCTCTCTTTTCAGTTCACCAAAGCTGTCTTGCTTTCAGTTGTTTTCAGCTACTATGTATCTTTCCTACTTAGTCCAAAATTTACCCCATTTCCCATTTGACAAACACTTATATTCTTGTGAGATAATCGTGTTGTCCTTCCACATTCTTTGAGATATCTTTAAAAATAAAGTAACATAGCTAGTGTCTACAATACTCTTTTTTTGTTTGTTTCTCATTTGACTTCTGGAAGGACTGAGGTAAGTATGGGTAAGTTGGAGAATACTTATTTCTATAAGGTACATGTGGGTGTTTTCATAATTGTAAGGCTAATCTCATCTGTTACTAATTTAGTAACTGTAGACATGATTTTAAGCAACATTTTTTTGGTTCTTAGTTCTCTATATTTTGTCCCACTGGCTATAGTTTTCTGTGTTCAAAATTGTAAACTTCAGTCTCTGACCTCAGTATATTATTTCATCTTCCTAGAGTTTCCTCAAATAGATGAAAAGTGTCAGTTGACTTTAAGTTGTATTTTTGTGGAGAGACTTCGTAAGTAGGCAATTGTTGTATATACCTAGATAACATAGAACAAATGTGTTTATTTGTTTGAGGGTGGGGTGCAATTGTAGCATGAGGGAATTATGAGTCCTATTTTTCTGGGAGGCCTTAATTCAAAGGGAAAACAAAGATTCTTTATCAGATATAAATGAATATTGAGAAGTTTAGTGGTTCATCCCATTTACATTTGCAGGGAGATAAAGGATGTATTTTCTCATACTTCATTTTCATTCAGAGTCTTTCTCCTTCCTGACACATGGATAAAAAAATTATATTTTGTCTCTGTGCCAAAAACAATATAATTTTGGTTTCCAAAATGAATATCTTAAGATATCAATTCCCTGTTGGTAAAGCAAATCCCCAACTCCTATTTGGAGATGGAAATTCATTGTTTCCTGAGCTGTTTCTTTCTGTGCTTAGTATGAAGGAAAAATGTCTGTATTTAGTATTCTTTAAAAACTGAGCATGAGTATATATTTCCATAACATATTGATTTTCAGTGGTTTTCCTCATTGTTTCAGGCATGGCTACTGGAGATCTTCCATATTCTTTAAAGGTAATTTTGGAGAACTGGACTTTTTACATGAACTGAGAAATTAGGTAAGACTTTTTTGAAAAATAAAATGAACATAATAGAAATGATAGTTTTCATTCATGTAGGGTTTTTTGTTTTTTAAAAAAAATTAGTAATTGCTTTAACATTCTTTTCTTTTTAAATTTCGAGTTCCAAATTCTCTCCCTCCTACCCATTGAGGAGGCAAGCAAAATGATATCAATTATATCATGCAAATCATGCAAAAAAAAAATTCATATTAGCCATATCTACAAAAAAAGGCAAAAAAAAATAAAGTGAGAAAGTTATACTTCATTTTGTACTCAGAATTCATCAGTTATCTCTCGGAGGTGGATAGCATTTCTTCTTCATGAAGCCTTTGGAATTATCTCATGTTATTGTATTGATCAGAGTAGCCAAGTTTTTCACCATTGGTCATCGTTACAACATTGCTCTCACTGTGTACAGTGATCTGCTGGTTCTTCTTATTTTACTTTTCATCAGTTAATGTAGGCCTTGCCATGTTTTTTTCTTAAACGGCCTCCCCCTTGTCATATCTTACAGCACAGTAGTACTCCATCACAACCATATGCCACAAATTTGTTCAGCCATTCCCTAACTGATGAGCATTCCCTTGATTTCCAGTTTTTAGCCACCACAGAAATGTGGTAAATGTGTGTATGTATGTATGTGTGTCTTTTTCAGATCTCTTTGGGGTACAGGTGGTATTGCTGGGTCAAAGGATATGCAGTTTTGTAGCCCTTTGGGCATAGTTCCAAATCAAGCTCCAGAATACTTAGACTAGTTCACAACTCTACCAACAGTTTATTAGTCTACCTATTTTTTCTTATCCCCTGCAGCATATGTCATTTCTAATAGGAGTGAGGTGGTACCTCAGTTGTTTTAATTTGCATTTCTCTAATTAATAGTTATTTAGAGCTTTTTTTTTCACATGATATAGAGAGCTTTTGATTTCTTCTGAAAACTGCCCATTCATGTCCTTTAAATATTTATCAGTTGAGGAATGGCTCTTATTTTTATAAATTTGATTCAGTTCCCTGTATCTGAGAAATGAGGACTTTATCAGAGAAACTCTTGAGGTACCATCTCACTCCTATCAGAAATGACATATGCTGGATGTGATGAGGGAAGAGCCTAGACAGGATATTTGAAGAGATAATCAAGGAAAATTGCTCTGATATTCTAGAACTAGAAGGTAAAAGAGAATTTGAAAGAATCCACTGATGACCTCTTGAAAGATATCCCAAAATGAAAACTCCCAGTAATATTATATCCGAATTCCAGAGCTCCCATGTCAAGGAGAAAATGTTGTAAGCAGCTAGAAAGAAACAGTTCAAATACCATGGAGCCACAATCAGGATAACACAAGATTTAGCAGCTTCCACATTAAAGGAGTGGAGGGCTTGGAATATGATATTCCAGAAGGCAAAGTAGCTAGGATTACAAGCAAGAATCACCTACCCAGCAAAACTGAATGTCATCCTTCAGGGGAAAAAATGGATATTTATTTAAATAGAGTACTTTCCAGCATTTCTAATGAAAAAACCAGAGCTGAATAGAAAAATCTGACATTTAAACACAGGACTTCAAGAGAAGCATAAAAAGGTGAACATGAAAGAGTAATACTAAGGGACTCAATAAAGTTAAATGATTTACATTCCTGTATGAGAAGATGATACATGTAACTCCTAAGAACTTTATCATTATTAGGGTAGTTAGAAGGAGTCTAAATGGATAGAGGCACAGATGTGAGTTGATTATGTTGGGGTGACCTCAAAAATAAAGTGAACAGGTGAGAAAGAAGGATATATTAGGAAAAGGGGGAAGGGAGAGGTAGAATAAAATTTTCTCACATGAAAAGGCTTGCAAAGAACAGCTTATAGTGGAGGGGGAAATTGGGGGCAGGTGGACAGTGCTTCAACATCATTCACATCAGATTAGTTCAAAGAGAGAAGATTGTATACACAGCTGGGTATAGAAATCTTTCTTACCCAGTAGGAAAATAGGAGTAAAAGGGAGTAAGAGTTATATAGGAAGTGGAGTGGGTGACAAAAAGGAGGGTGCATTAAAGGAGGCAGTGGTCAGAAGTGAAAGAGAGAGAGAAGGATAAACAAAAGAAAATGAGATGCCTAAATGAGATTGCTTAAAGGTACCAGAGACAATGAAGTAATATCAAATTTTTTTACAGCTTTCAAACTGGGATGGAGGGAAATACACAGTTGATAATCATAATTATGGATGTGAATGGAGTGAGCTCACCCATACAATGGAAGCAGATAGCAGAATAACTTTGAAACCAGAATCCAATAATATATTGGTTATAATAGACATACTTGAATTAGAAAGAGTTAAAATAAAGGGCTAGAACAGAATTTATTATGCTTTTGCTGAAGTAAAAAAAAGGAGGGAGTAGCGATCATGATTTCAGATAAAGCAAAAGCCAAAATAGACCTAATTAAAAGAGAATCAGGGAAACTACGTTTTGCTAAGAGGTACCATAGAAAATGAAATAATATCCAAAAAACTGTATAGCAAGTTTCCCTGATAAAGGCCTCATTTCTCAAATGTGTAAGGTATGAAGTCAAACATATAAAAATAAGAGCCATTCCCCAGTTGGTAAGTGGTCATAGAATATGAACAGGGAATTTTCAGAAGAAGAAATCAAAGTGATCTATACTCATATGAAAAAATCCTCTAAATCATTATTGATTAGAGAAATGCAAATTATTGTGGATAGTTGAGAGACCATGGTGTAGTGGATAGAGTGTGGCACTGGCAGTCAAGAAGACTTAGTTTTGAGTCCTGCTTCTGACACTAGCTATGTGACCTTGGGCAAGTTACCTAAGCATTTATACTTGCATTATGTAAAATGTTTTGTGACTTTGAAAGTGCTACAGGGGCAGCTAGATGGTGCAGTGGATGGACTATGGGCACTGGATTCAGGAGGACCTGAGTTCAAATCTGGCCTCAGGCACATAACGCTAACTAGCTGTGTGACCCTGGGCGAGTCACTTAATGCCATTGCATAGCCAAAAAAACAAAAACAAAACAAAGTGCTATGAAAGTGTTAGTTTTTATTATTCACATCCATTATCAGACTTAGACTTAAAGAAAGTTAGAGTTAGAAGGCACCATAGGTATCTTCTAGTGAAAGACTTTTAAATTTGGAGTCAGGTCATGAGTTTAGATACTAGCTCTGCCACTTACTACTTATGTGACCTTGAGTAAGTCACTTCATCTTTCTGGGACTCAGTTTCCTCATCTATAAAATTAAGGATTTGGACTAAATCAGTGGCAGAAACTCAAATATAAATGGGGACCACTAATCTGTATGTAAGGATCCTTGTGGGCTGCCAATTGACTTGGTTTTAAAATTTAATATAATTTATATTTTATTTTGTTAAATATTTCCCAATTACATTTTAATCTGGTTTGGGCCATAGTGGGGAGTGTGGTGGATTGATTGGCCACATGTTTGACCCCTCTGGATCAGAGTAGAGTTTTGTAATTTTATATTTACCATTGTCATAATTATAGGTAGAATATATTTTATGATTACAGTTTTGTAATGCTGTAGTTATATTGTCTCTGTCTATCAGGATGGTTTATCTGTGGACTCTTTCTTTTGACTTACCTGACATTTACATGTCTAATTAATGAGAGTTTATGAAGAGGTCCTAAGGATGTTTGGCCAATCTGACAAAGTTTTCTTTCTTTTTCTTTTTTTTTTCTTCCTTCTGGTATTCCTACTGAGTTTCTATTACAGAGGTTATTTATTTTTCCTTTTTCCCCCCAAGTCAAAAAGTGATTAATTTAAGTATCCACTCTTTTCTGGGTGTGGAAATAAGTATAAAATACTTCCTACTCTTCAGTCTATTACAGTTTATTTGGAGAAAGGCATAAATATATCAAAACCAACACTGCAACATGAATTATAGAGTGATTCTTCCAAAAAAAAGTTTGACTTCTATTTGATGGGGATGAAGTTTGGGGAAATTGAGATTATAAAGTATTATAGCTGTAAATAAAATAACTGTTTGGACAAGAAAGGAAGGAGGAACATTTATTAAGAACCTACTGTATACAAGGAATTCTGCTCATCACTTTTACAAATGTTATCTCTTTTGATCCTCACAACTACCCTGAAAGGTAAGGGCTATTATACTCAATTTACAGTTGAGGAAACTGAAGCAGATGGCAGTTAAGTGACTTGCCCTGGGTCATCTAGCCAGTAAATATCAGGCTGAATTTGAACTAACGTCTTTCTGAGTCCAGACCTATCCACTGCTTTGTCATCAAATTCTGTTTGATCCTAGTAGATAAGAATTTTTAAATAAAAATATTATTGGCAATTTTGCAATGATAGGGAAAGTTAATCTGTTGAAAAATACTGGTTTATTTTAATCATAAAATCACTTTGTTTTCTAATCATTCTGACTTTCCATATACACCTTAAGAGAAACCAAGTCTTTGAAGATCTCCCTGTCCCTTTTATTTACCAAATGGTATATCTTACATTTCATCTTCAAAAATTTCAACCAGGGTATTATTGTGTTCTTTAGGCAGCTATAATTATGTGCCAGAGAATGTTTGAGGTAAGCTTCTCCTAGATAGACCTTAGCCAGTTGTTCTTTCTTTGTTGGCAAGGAGCCTTTATCCATTGACTACCTGAGGGGAACAATTTCTCTGGTTTCTTCAACCTGTAGACTCTTCCTTGATTCTTTTTTGATGGGTTTAAAAAAGGTGAGGCAGTAGAAGATGACTACAGGAATTTTAGGGCTCCCTTGGAAGTAAAATAATATTAATAAAAATCAAAATTCATTAACATTATAGTGCTAGTTAGTTATTTTGCTTTAATGTAAACCAAGTTAAGGTTCCAATCTCAAAACAGAGAAAGCACAAGTTGCCTTGAGGGGACTGAGCAAAAATCCAAGCTGAGTGAATGAATGAGGTAATCAACCACAACCAAATCTTCTTGGCTCTTTGCAGGGCTTTAGGAGAAATCAGCAGTTAAGGTACTCAGGCA